GGCGGCCCGAGAGCGCGCGCGCCCCCTGCGGGCGCCGGCGGGGCGGCGCAGCCCCCATGGAGCGGGTGAGCGAGGCCGCCGCCTGCGGCCCCTCGTCGGGCTGCTACACGTACCAGGTGAGCCGGCACAGCGCCGACGTGCTGCACAGCCTCAACCAGCAGCGCAAGAACGGCGGCCGCTTCTGCGACGTGCTCCTACGCGTGGGCGACGAGAGCTTCCCGGCGCACCGCGCCGTGCTGGCCGCTTGCAGCGAGTACTTCGAGTCGGTGTTCAGCGCGCAGCTSGGCGACGGGGCAGGTGGCGGCGGCGGCGGTGCGGAGGGGACTGCGGCGGAGGCGGCGGCCGGCGGGGCTGCGGCGGCGGCCGGCGGCGCCCCCGGGGGCGGGCGAGAGCTGGAGATGCACACCATCAGCTCCAAGGTGTTCGGAGACATCCTGGACTTCGCCTATACGTCGCGCATCGTGGTGCGGCTGGAGAGCTTCCCGGAGCTCATGACGGCCGCCAAGTTCCTGCTGATGCGCTCTGTGATTGACATCTGCCAGGAGGTCATCAAGCAGTCCAATGTGCAGCTCCTCGTGCCCCCCACACGSCCTGACATTATGCTATTCCGTCCGGGGGCTGCGGACCTCGGCTTCCCTCTTGACATGACCAACGGTGCCACTTTGGCACCCAATGGCAATGGCATTGCTGGCATGCCYGAAGATGAGGCCACGCGGGCTGCGCTCACCGCTGCGCAGTCCTCCCTACCTGTCCTGCAGGGTGTGGACCGCCTGCCCATGGTGGCAGGACCTCTGTCCCCACCCCTGCTGGCTTCACCCTTCCAGAATGTTGCTGCTAGTGCCCCCACTTTAAGCACCAAGAGGGGCAGAGGGCGTCCCCGTAAAGCTAATCTCTTGGACTCCATGATGTTTGGTACCCCAGGGGGCCTGCGAGAGGCTGGTATCCTGCCTTGTGGGCTCTGTGGAAAGGTGTTCACGGATGCTAATCGTCTTCGCCAGCAYGAGGCTCAACATGGGGTGACAAGCTTACAGCTGGGCTACATAGACATYCCACCCCCACGACTGGGTGAAAATGGTGTTCCTGGTCAGGATGACCCCGATGCACCCCGAAAAAGAAGCAGGACGAGGAAACAGGTGGCCTGTGAGATCTGTGGCAAGATTTTTCGGGACGTGTACCACCTGAATCGGCACAAGTTGTCACACTCTGGCGAAAAGCCTTACTCTTGTCCAGTGTGTGGCTTGCGGTTCAAGCGAAAAGACAGGATGTCCTATCATGTTCGATCTCATGATGGCTCTGTGGGAAAGCCCTACATCTGCCAGAGCTGTGGAAAAGGCTTTTCCAGGTAAGAGATTCCTTGTATGGACCACTGACGAACGGAAACCTAGGAAGTTGACTTTCTAGTCCCTTGGGAATGTACTCAGGATAGTTTGACTGTTCCACTTTAAAATGTCTCAAGAAATCAAACGTCCATCATTTCCTCTTGGATGCTATTCTACAGTGTCTTGGAAGGGTTTAAAAGTAATTAAGACATAGAACTGGGAGTCAGCTGGCTTCTGGCTAACATTCTCAGCTTTGTCCCAGAGCTGGTGTATGCGTGTCCTTGTGCAAATCAGTTAGTCTCTCCCTCAAATGACTCTTCTGTGAAATGGGTATTGAAATAATTACCTGCCTCACAGAAGTGTTTTGAGATCACTGATGTGTAGGTAGTTTGAAGGTGCTGYTGAAGTGCAAAATAATACATCTCAAGATAATTATTTTTCTCGTATCCATTTTAAATTTTCTTTTTCTTAACTTCCCTTCATTTCTCTTAGTTCGTAATGTTTTTTATCACCCAAATGTGAAGGAAGAGGTGAGATTTCAAAGGCTGCAGCATCAAGTATCTTTTAATACATGATCTTTGTGTCCTTTGGGTTTACATCCTTCTGAAGGGGATCCTGTTTCTGCCCTGCAACATACGTAAGATCTGTGCATTTAATGTTGCTGATTTTTTGTTGTCGCTGTTTGTGGGAGCTAATTTAATAAGTAGCTTGGTACACATAGTTGTGTTAGTGGTATCTTATAGTCTGAGTTAATGAATTTGAAACTTTCTTGGAAGTTAGCTGCTCGCTTTGAGTGTAGAAGTAGTGGGGGGAGGGGGATGCATACGCTCTGCCATTTCTGTACCAGCAGTCGGTTTTCTACAGCAGTTGATTTGCTCTGACGTGAGGGAAGGAATCGAGATCTGAAAACAAATCAAAAGGCCACCAGGCRATGAAAATTGTGGAATTGTGTCCCTGTTCTTCTTTTGATAGAGGGACTTTTTGAAATAAATTGTGAAAACGTAGGGGTCGTCCCCCCCCCTTTTTTTTTATCGGCAATATTAGGGATGTATCTTGATAAGGATTGCAGATTCAGTGATGGAAGGTCACAAAATAAAAACTTAATCCGTGCCTATAAGTGGAAGTATTTTTCTTATTATAGCACTACCTGGGATCGTGTACCAATTTTTATTGATTTTATTGACACTTAAAGATTTCTGTTATTSCTGTATGAAAGAGTTTTGTCATTAAGGGAAATAGAAATACACGCTGAGTTCTCTTTTTTCCCAGGAAATTAATGTGAACAGGAGGGATTACTGTTACGAAAGTAAACAACAAAACCGTTTGTGTATCTGTAAAACCGATGCATGAATGAAAGCTAGGGACTCTTGAGTTTTTCAGTGTTCAGTCTTCGGRGCAGCCAAAGGAAGCTGGAAGCGTRATGTCTCATTTTAGTGTCCTTTCCTTTATTCAGTAGCGCAGCACGTGAGGTTTCTGAGCTTGAGGTACCCAGAAGGACCCCAACCAGTCTGTCCGGTTCCACCGCTCCAGCGCTGGAGCATCGGTTTAAGAGCCTCACTGCGAAGTTCAGCCTATTTTCTGTCTGCAGTGCGTGAATTCCATCCCGCGCCCTCTCATTGGTGCAGCTGGGAAGTTGGGGGAGGAGAGSGTGGGAACTTGTTTCCAAGCAGTTTTGGTCTCATACAATGAAAAGCTTTCTTCCCACTAGGAGAAACTCCCACCAGGACAATCTGCAGCTCTTCAGTCCTTTCTTCTTCTTCAAAGTAGGCTATGCTGGTTGTGAAGAATGGTTTAACTTTTTACAGTAATAATTTGCTCTTCCATTGCACCTTCTAGTTGGAACGTTTTGAGCACTTGATTTGTATTAATGCAGTTTCCCCACCAAGCTGTGAGTTAGGAGTATTTTTTCATCTTGAAGGTGGAAAATGTGTTGCAGCGACAGTTTAGAGAGTCTTTTTGCACAGWTGTGCTTTAAGTTGGCTTTTTACGTCTTTTGGGACATAAACCAAAAGGGTCTGTTTTTCAAGTATTCAGCAACTGTAAATGAAAGATCTGATTGTCAAAGTCTAAATAGGATTTTGGAAGGGGACATGCAGGCTTGAAAATCGTAACTTGGATTTCCTGTTTCCTCTGATCATTCAGTYATGATTTCTTCCTGAGAAAATGCTGCCTTTTTAGAAAGTTGGTGAGGGTGCATAACAAAGTAGAGTCCCAGTTGTTTGCGATCTGGTTCTTGGAAAGTTAAATATCACTACATTTGTAATAGATGCAGCACTGGGATTTTTTTCCTTTCTTTTTTTTCTTTCTTTTTTTTCTTTTTTTGGTGAAAATTGTAACTTTATTTTTAGTATTTGTTTTAAGCGTGCTTATGTGTATTTTCCTTTAAGGCCAGACCACTTGAATGGACACATCAAACAGGTGCATACCTCAGAGAGACCTCACAAGTGTCAGGTAGGAGCCACAGGGGTTTAGACTGATGTTGTGGGTAATCTTTGGCGTTGTGTTTACATGTGCAGACAATTTTGACGAACCGTTAGAAATACCATGTATATGTGAATTGGGATAAATGTTTGTAAAGAACAGTGTTCCACAGTGACATCTGCTTTACATCCCTCCCRTCACCCCTCACCTCATCTCCAGCTTTGGTTCTCCTGCCTCCCCTGCCTCTACCAGATGTTCTTCCCTACTGCTCTGTCCCAGTCTCACCCTGGATCTCTTACCCAGCCACCTGGGCTTGGAGTCAATGTCACTGATGATTCCCTTCCTTTTTTTTTAATTGCAGTTGTTGCCATCAGGAGGCTCCAATGCTGACTTCATTTTTTTAGAATTATTTCAATTAAAAATTAGTAAATTGTAATTACCATAACTTAACAAGATACTATTTTTTTAATTGCATACCCTTCAGAACATTGCACTGAGCAAAATTGGAAGCTTTTTTTTTATCTCAGGGAAAAYATAAACAAGGGCATCACAATATCCTTTGTTGTACAGTGTCATAATGTTATATATAGTTTTTTATAGTTAATAGATTTGAAAGATCAAATGAAGGAAGATATTTTGTAATTCATTTACAGAGAGACTTAAAACATGCCTGGAAATATTAATTAAAACCAAAGTTGAGAATCAGCTTCCACCATCACACATTGCCATCAGAGAGATGTTGGGCAAMCTCCTAAAACAGTTGTTGAGCTAACAGTCTCCATGTCTGGCTTCTGAAGAAATATTTGATATTTATTTAAAGAATCTGGAGCAAGATTCTTTTCTTCYTTTTTGAAGACAGTGAAGGTTAGAGGATTTTTTTCTAAAATATTTAACCACATTTTATGAGCCTAGTAAATCCTACATGACTGCTGCTTCCTGATACGCATTTTTGTGTGTGTTTTGACACACCTCTTCTATAKTTCCTTCAAAATGTGAGAGTTTAGAAACGCTTTGCAATTTTGATAATCCTGAGAACAGTTTTACAGGCAGCTGGAGCCATCTAAAGGTTTCTGTTGACATCCATATGATCTGTGAAAGCCCAGCACATTGGAGAGTCGGGCTATGGAGCTGTCACATTGATTTAACTGTATGTCCTRCATAAAGCCTTAGATTGGCTCAAGCTTCTTAAGATGATTTATGGGTTACAGATTTATACAAATTGGAAAATTCCACTCATAAAAAGAATTCACAGTGTGGGGACAGCAAGAGGTCTGTGGATGAACTRATGATGAATGTTTACATCCCAGCATGAGCAAACACTCATCAGTCTTTTGGTAGTTGATATCAAGATTACTAAATGAACATTGTTTAGAAATAACAGTGARAGCTATGAATTGTCCTTTGCCAGCTGATGACCAATAACTTTTGTAGTTTAATGTTGATTAAAAAAATGTTAAATATCGGCTCTGTATGAATCAGACGATATACTAACAGCTCAAAAGTAAAGAAACATGAAAGCTAAGATGGCACAGTTAAGCTCAACTCCATTTCCTTGCACTCATGTATTTTGTGATAGCAATTTCCAARAACAGTCTTTATTATTGTGTGTTGTCTAAAATGCCACAATATTGTATGCACTGTTCATTTCGGTTAAAAGGTACAGGCTATAGGTTACAATCATCAGGGCAGAGCTGATATTGTCCTTCTTGATTTTTGACTGCTTAGCCCTGCAAAGTTTTCATGAATCTTGAGGTGCAGAAATTTTGTTAATGACATGTTGTGTGTCTTTGCAGARAATGCTTTGTAATATCCTATCAGATTTAGAAAGTCTTCTTAAATATGCACAGATCTATTACACATTGTAGAATCCACAGAAGGCATGCAGTCACTGAAAACTTCTTTCAAATATGAAAGCTGATGTATAAATTGTTAACATTCTCCCTGGGATTATTTTATAACCAGTTACATATCTGTTCCATGATATGAATCTAACACAGGATCTGGCCGCTAAGAAGGAAAAYAGCTTTATGTTGGCATGTTGTTTGCCCATTTTCCATTCACTTTTTCCACTGATTTTGTTTGGCAAATTAGCTCCCCATGAGAGCATTCTGAACAGCATTGAGCATCCTTTTTGAATCACAGTTCCTGTTGAAAATTCCTGTTACTGTCATGCTTTGTTTGTGTTTACTGGAAAAGAGAAATACTCTGTCAGTAAACAGAAGAGCATTCCAGAATCCTCTATTTTAATGGCATTTTTGGAATTTGAGCTCTTATGATTTAAACCAAATCCACTGTCTGTTTACCTGAGCTCTTATGTGTCTTTGCAAACTGGTGATGTCTAATAGTTTTTTGGTGTGGCATCATGGTACAGAGTACCACAACAAAAGTGGGAAGATGTCAACCCAACTTCAGAATAAATAACAGTATGAGAARCAGTTTTAAGCTGAATGTCCCTTCAACAGCTGTAGTTTTCAGTGCTCAGTTTGTAATCCTGCACTCATCCCCTTGAAATAATGGCTGTGCTCACAGATYGTTCACAAGGATCCTATGTTCCTGCACCTCTAACACCTGATGCCAAAGTCTTGACTCCAGCTTTTTCATTGCTGTTAAAATAGATTCAGATTAGGGAATGTCTCCACAGAGCCAAGGCAGCTGAGAAATCAGATCCAAGAAGTTGCTTTGGTAGCCAAGCAAAAGGCACTCTGGATCTTTTCCCTTGGATTGTTGCMGTGGTGAATTTCCCCACCACCACCTCCTGGTCTGACAGTTAAGTTCTGGTTATAGGAGAAGGGGTAAATCAGTTTTATTGCCARAATGGGGTAGCTCAGCGTGCTGACTCCTCGGGATGGGATGAAGCTGTTGGCTTTTGCGTGTCCGTGTATTAAAGTTAGGCTGCAGTTTGGGAGCAGTGATCTGAAAATCTGTGGACGTTAAAGAACAAGGGGAGAAAACAGAAATTTGCTCCTTCTCAGAGATAAGACAGGTTATTCTTCTGGCAAATTAAATTAAAAAGAAAAATACAGGTTAAATTAAAGCACAACTTAATTGGCATCCCAAGTCCAGTGCGTATCCCATTGATTTCAATGCAGAATGAGTTTCTTCCTGTCCTAATTTCTCTTACTTCCTGCCTATTAGCAGGAAAATGGCAGCCACCATGGAATAAGCTCAGAGACATCCACATCCATAGAAAAGTTGAAACTTCAAGAGGTATTTCTTAAACAATGTTTTTTAAACTTTATATATTCTTTTTGATCTATTTATATACCTGTGCARTGTTTGATAGGAAAGCACTGGAGAGTTTTCTTCTATGATTAACAATTAATGATAAATACTTAGCACTCATTTAGCACTTCACATCTTTCATAAAATAAAACTTTTTTTTTCTCTATACCTTTTTRTAAATATTAACTATTTGAATATTAACTTTGGGGTTTTCTTTAACCCTAGTCCTGTCTCCCATTGTTATAATTCAGCTAAACTGATTCTTGCTTTCTCCACTGGACTTAATGATTTTTTTAAGCTTCATTGCAGATATATTTACTATATAGCTTATCCAAAGGTGAGCTTTGCACYACTCAGCAGCAAGAGTGAGAAATCAAACACATAAATTATTATAYTGCTTTTCCCTAAGCTTTCAACTTGCTAAGTTCACTGTGGGATAGATATGGTTTTACCTCTGGCATGGCTGTGTTTATGTGATTTGTCTGTGGTCTGTTTCATCAGCTAACACACTCCCAATGCGCGGGTATGGACCTTCCTGCGGCTCTGTAGCTTTAGAGTTGCTGATGATGGATCTCTTGGCTGTCATTCTTGATTGTCTAGTTACATCCCTTTAGTTGATATCCAACAGATTGATTAGTATCAGTGCTGCAATCCTGCCTTAAGAGAGTGCTTACKTCTAAGAACATTTTAGTAAGTGAAAGCTGCACCTGTTTTGCTCAGCGCTGTGTACTGAGATTTCAAATGAAGAGAAATCTTGTATGTTCAAGAATTTGCCTCTTAATCTTCAATACTTGCAATTTATGAATCTTATCTGGTCTGCCTAGTTAAACAGTGTATATCACAGAAATCCAGATAATTTTACTGTTGCCTTTTTAATTTCATTAAGTCCTGATCCTGTGGGTGTTAAGTCTTGTGCTTGCTGTAGAGCAGCGTCAGCTCCCTGGGAGTTTTCCACACTTAAGCATCTCACAGGATTGAATGAGTGTAAAGCCTGTTGAAATTGATAGGTGCTTTTCAGCTGCCTTCACTGTTTTTTTGACTGAGCTCCTGATTAAATGAATTTTATATAATTACATGTTATCCTCTTCTGTATTATCAATTTCACTCACTTGAATTATAATTCTGGAATTTTACTAAGATTGTTACTTTAACAAGTCTTATCTCTATTGAAGCAACGGTTTAGTTACACACTGATATTTAAAAACACTGACTATATCCAGTTCCCAAGACATTGAACAGCCTCATATTTTTTCTTTGGGGGTTCTRGTTATATCTCTTAGAACTGTTGTGTTATATAAAGTTGATATAAACAAAAGACTATACACTCTTGAATGTCACTGCTCCTGCTTGGTCTGGTCATCCTGATGTGTTTGCTTTTGTTTCTCCTCCTGCACTTGTGAAATCGTTTAGACTATAATTCTGACAGTTTGTGCACCATAATGCTGATGATTTATTTCCCTTCACACATTAGAGGCAGAGCAAGCCTTTCAGAACTGGCAGGCCATTGTAGCAGGCTGTGGGCATAGCATTGCTGGGATTATAAAAACGGAAGGGAGCATTCACTCATCATGTGGATTTCAGGTGGAAAGTGGACAAATAGAATCAATATTATGCCAAATCAACCTGTTTTTGTGGTAGTAAGTGGAGTATGATACCTTGACCAGGGGTAAGTTAAAATTAATTACAGTGTCATGCAGTTATTTGGATACCTGCTCAGTTCTGAGGCTTCACTTCTATGGTTTTTCTGCACTGYTGCTGTGAATACCAGGATGACTCTTCTACTGTCTCTCATCATGTTGTCATCCCAGATAATTCTCTGATCCTTGTTTGTGCGTCTTCACACTCTGAAGGAATTCTGTGTACTGAAGTTAGTTTTATCTCATCAAAGAGTAGAATTTAGGAAGATGACAGAGAGGACATTTTGAGTGGTCTAAAGTGATTTTATAAGCTCAGTGAAATGGCAGAACTTACTGAAAATGGAAAGAAAGTGGTTTGTGCTATTTCTGTCATTACATATTACTTAAAATTTTAGTATTTTCATCCTCAGAAGGGAGTTAAAGCCTTACAAGTCTATCTTGTTTGAAGTTTTACTGTCTGTAGTATGTTAGAGCTGTTTTCTTGCTGCCATAATTCTTTGGAGTAGTAACATTACATCTTATGCAATGTGATGGTATTCTGAATTTTTTAATTTGGGGGAAAATGGCTTGTGCATCATGTAATTTTTGTGTTTGCACAGGATCTAAGGTATTTACTCTAAAGAATACTGAATATATTCAACAATATGAGTGCTGTTAGCAGAGTTGATGAGTCACATGGTTCTCGTTATACCTGCAGACGTGTAATGCTTCCTTTGCCACCCGTGACCGGCTGCGCTCCCACCTGGCATGTCATGAAGACAAAGTTCCATGCCAAGTGTGTGGCAAGTACTTGCGAGCAGCATATATGGCAGATCACTTGAAGAAGCATAGTGAAGGACCAAGCAATTTCTGCACTATCTGTAACCGAGGTAATGAGGAAACTATGTTTTTRTTCCAGTGGGGTGGGACAGCACTTGAAGGGAGCTGTAAGGCTGCGTGACCCTCTCTGCAGCAGGAGGATGTTATACCCTATATATGTACATGCTTTGCTTTTCCTATTGAATACTTAACCCTGAAACTGATGGCATACAGGTCTGGCCTTTTCACATGGCTGATCATTCCCACAGAAACTCAGTYTAAATGTGAAGCAAACTTTATTTTCTAAATAGCCAGATCCCTATACAATAACCATAAGCTGCCTTGCCACTGTTCAGCATACATATTTTTGTTTTTCTATGCCTGGTTRGACTTGAGTCCTTGCAGTCAGTTTGGAAGATGAATCTTTGAAATACACATCAAGTTGAAAATTATACACTGAACATAAATCCACATTCTGATACTAAGTCTTACTTAACCTCCTGCTGCARTAGAGTCAAGCTGCTTCTCCCTCTTAATACAAGAAATTGCTTTATATTAATGTACGTTTGTAAAACATGTCTTTAAAGAGCACTAGAAATGTGCTTTACCTTTRTTTGAAAAAATACAGCTTTTCATAGTTGGAAGGGACCCATAATGATCACTGAGTCTAACTCCCCACTCCTTGCAACCACATGTAAAACTAAACCATATGACTAAGAGCTTGTGAAGCTTTTCCATCTGTTTGTGGTACTCTTCAGTTGGAGAGTGCTGCAAATTTAGGTTTTGTGTGATGTAAGACAAGCTGGAAAAATTACTTTGACTTATTGGTGTCTTTTATTTGAGTGATTAATACACAACTTCAGAATGCCTTGTTGGCTCACATGGGTGTACGTAGCTAGCAGGTGTCAGAAGAGGTTGCTGCAGTGTTTTGGTTTCTTGTTTTTTCTGATGAGTCTCTTTTCCTGACTGTATTCTCTTTTCTAGTTTAAGAGAGGTGAAATCTTTTGGGAGAATAAAGCTCTTCTGTGTTTAATGTGCAGACTGTACAGGGAGCTTTTGGAGTTGATGAGTAATGAAACGTTAAATTGCAAGGGAGGTATTTCCACTAGYTGAACAGTCTGTAAGGTCCTGAAAATGATGTTATCAGTGTGAGTGGAAAACGYATCTGAGTTGAAAATCTTCAGGTTTTGAAGCTCCGGGTAGACGGTGTGAAATGAAGCTTGCCCTCCTTTCCAGCCGAAGGCCTGGCTTCTGACCAACTGCTTAAGCTTATCCCGATTCTTTTTGTGACAAGATTTGTAAACTATTTGAGATCCAGGTGCTATCCTGCTCTCCTACTGTTCAGTATGGTGCCAGACAGAAACTCGGGTTSGGAGGAATTGTCTTGTTTCCGTAAGGTTGAGTTTCAAGTTAACTACCACTGGATGTCACTGCAGCTCTTTGGAAATGGAGCCAGCGTGACAAAGACAGTCCCAGCATTCAACCAATAAAATGACTGTGGTTTATTCRCATTTTGCAAGTCCAAATGTACAATGGAAGTTTAAATAAAATATACACTTTTCTGTAGAAGGACAGGGAACCTGTTGTAGAGCAAACTTCAAGCAACTACTTTTTTCTTACAGTTTGTGTTTTTCATGGGAGTTGTCATAATTGTCTGCTGTGAATTTCAGTTTACATCAGGACTTAAAAAATGTAATTAATCTGGTGAATAATGTTAAGTATCATAGGAAGTGTTAAAATTCATCGGAAGGAGAAGCTACAGACCAGATTCGTCAAACAGCTGTGTTGTGAACTCATTGTTTTATGATGTACATTTTGATTAAATACTAATGATCAATGATAGCAGAATTTTAAATCCCAAGTGTCCATTGTTTTAAATAGTTACTTTTTAAATTATAGAGCCTGGCAAGATGAAGCCTAATGGAAAATTTCTCAATTAGAAACATTAATTTGACAGGCCTTGGTAGAGGCAGAAGCTACACAGACTAACTCGAACACAGCTGTGCTGTGGCTGTGGTGCTTGTGCAGTGGGATTTTGTTTTTCTTCCCTTGGCTGATGTGCTGATGTGTTTTTGAATTGAAACTTAGCTGGTTCTRGATATAGTAATTGTCAAGCAAGAGTGCTGTACAAGCTCAAGCTGCYTGTAGAGAGAATTTTGGATGTTGGCCCATTTTAGAAAAAAATTGACAAAGAGGTGACTCTTACATGGCTGAACATTCCCAGAGTACGACCGAGCTTAGACTTCTTCAGTTTATCCCATTGGACTGAAGGCTTTCCTATGGAACTAAATCAAGAATCTCATGTTGTTTTAAAGGTTTAATGGATTTAGGAGATGGAGATGGAACTCAGTACCTGATGAAAAGCAGAAGGCAATAGTTTGCCATGTCATGTATATACTCATTTGTTGATCATACTTGTTTCTTTTACATGGCAGTATAATTTAAAAAAACTACCAGCTGTGATTTGATGTTTTTTTCCAGGTCATTTTCTTACTTGGGGTCTTTATATTTAGAATAATCATTGAAGCAATTAAATCTTGTTAAATGCAGTAAACGGTGAAGGGGTTTTGGGGGGGTTTTGTGTTGTTTTTTTCCCCTCCGGGATTTTGGGGGTTGTTTTGGTTTGTTTCTTTTTCTTTTTTTTTGGTTTGGTGTTTTGTTTTGTTTCTTTTTTATTTTTTTTTTTAAGAATTTGTCTAAAATATGCTTAAAAAACCTAATCCTCCAGCCTCACTTTTTAAGACAAATTCTCTTTAATCGGCTTAAATAAAAAAGACATGCTCCTGTTGTGTTGTTATACAATCTTCTCTTACCATCCTTAGGAACTTTATTTGCTTGTGTGAGGTTTTTCAAGGAATTCAAGAGATTAATGACTTTGGCAGGTCTAGAGCTGGTACTTAGTAATAGCACGTGCAACTCAGAAGTTTGGGTTTGCGTATCAAACACACATTGTTTGTTTCACAGAAATCAAATTAGTTAGGAAGTGGGTAAATATTCCAATCACAAATCAGAGAATTTATTTTTTACACTGAGTTCTTGTATGTTTCATGGTGGACAGAGTCCATTAAAACAAGATACATTCTCCTCATGTTCCATCTAAATCCAAATTGCAACTTTTGAACAAGGACCAGCCTGCAATAATTTCTGTAGTGTATCTCCTTRTCAAGGTTATCTAAGAGATCAAGGGATAGGTCCCATTTATATAAAGCAGATAATTTTCTCTCCATACATGTTTTTAATATTGGTTCTTCTGGTATGAAGAAATAATGTGCTCTGCAAAGTAGAGAGATGTGTATGAGTAAAGCAATAAATACATTCCTTCTTTGAAAAATATAGCCACTTTTTCCTCTGGATTAGTCTGACTTTGCTCGGAAAGAGACTTTCAAAAAGTGAAGGATTATTGTCTATGAACCCCCATCTTTCTAGGACAGGCATTCATAATAGAAGTCTGGTAGAGATAAAAAGGGCAGTGCTAAGTGTTTCAGGAAAAAAATGAGAACAGCCCCCAAAAAGTTTCCCTTTAAACAGTTTCCCATGAAGCAGTTGGYATTCTTACGGTTTTGATGGAAKTTGATGACTCACATGTTCATCTGCCAAATGCATAAAGGGGAGCTAACACACTTTGCAGCAGTTTTCATTATATRAAACAATGTACTCTACAAATAGAAYTGCAGAGTTCAGAAAAAATATTGTGTAGCAGAGATTACAAGTTCAGATTTTCCTGGGTCAGTTGTAGTGTAGAGAAACACTGAATCCCTGCATGTAGTCCTTCTTTAATAGTTGGTAGTGAGATTTTAATGCATAGCTGCATCAAAAAGCTTGATCTCAGCATGCATGTGGTTATTAGCCACATGTGTGAAATAAGGAAAGTACCTCATAGGAAGAAGTGTCACCATTATATCTGTACATTGTGCCTTTTTTGTACCAGTTAAAGACTGGTTCTTTCTCATCTCATCTAGTGATTTTTTGATATTTGTAATAATATATTCTCTTGTTACCTAGTGGGGTTTTCAATGCGTCATTTAATGTCTGAGGGTAGGTCTTGCATTATTTCTGAGGATAATATCCTTATATTAATTCCCTGGTTGACGTGGCCTTGGTGATTCCACTCCATTGTATTTTGAGGGTTGTACGTTCTTGGTTTCCTCAGTTGTCATGTATCTACTTTTCCTCACTTTTATCTTCARCTCAGGGGTCCACAGTAACTACTTCTTGTTCATTCTCAGCAACYTGCCCTTTTTCCCTTCAGCAGGTTGCTGGGGAGTTCTGTCTTGCTTTGCAGGTCCTGTATATATAATTCTTAATAACCCCTGGATAAAAGTCTGTGTAGAGGGATATTCTGTGTGCTAGGCACAGGGAAATCAAATGTAAAGCCACATTCATTATTAAATTCAGCGCCTGCAACTAACAGCTGCTGTCAGAAAATCCACCCCAGAATGGTGTGCAGTATTTGGTGTGCATCCTTCCTAATAAATTATTATATATCATCAAATGTAAATATAGTTACACCACTACAAAAATGGCTTTATGGTAGAATATCTATTCTTATTTTAGGTGAAGTATTGTTATGAAAGGTCTCTTGCAAGGACTTGTGCTGTAAATGCTRAATTGGTTTTAAAAAATCTAGGGCTTGGGTTTTCTCTCTCCAGAAAGGGAACCTGCAACTCTGGATCTATGATGGTGAACCTTGTGTTGTGTTCTTAGCTGCCAGTGGAAAATGTTTCTAACATAAAAGTGCCATAATATTTTGTTCAAAATATAACAGAAAATTAAGCTAGTTGTYAGTAGCTCTACCTCTGTAGGAAGCCTTTAAAACTGTGTCCTTCTTGTGCCTCTTATATGGTCCAAATGTACTAGTAGTAATTGCAAAAATTATTAAGGCTGAATTTAAAAACATTCCAAAGTATATGTGAGATAATTTATTGCATTGAAGGAAAAGGACATATTTGTGAGATGTAAAAAAAAAAACATTTTTAAAAACACATGTACAAATGTAAAGAAACCTGTTTTGTTCAGAAATCAATTGTTTGACATACATGTTTTTATTTTCAGTGTTTGGCACTTATAGATCAGAGCTAATAAAAATACTGAAATTTATTTTTAATAGTTTTGTTAATTGTAGACAAAATATGAGTTCTRGTATATTTTTTAAAACTCAGGATGAGCTGACTGCAGGAAATGTTTTTGAAAATTTAGTAATTAGTAATTTAAAAATTACTATAGAACTAAACTGTATACCTTAAAAAGTCAGTAGTTATAGCTTTCTGCCTTCTAGAACTCACTATAAATGCTAGAAACCTAAGGGGAAAGGTCACTAAAAAGCAATGAGGGGCATTGCCAAATAGAATTCCTTCAAATCTTAACAGCATAAAATATACTATTTGGAACTATCTTCCTAAGTATTATCAGATAACAAAAGCATTTTTAATTAAAATAAAGAAAACAGCACAAAAATGGCAAAGAGACATGGGTGCCTTTTTGTATAATGTCTCTTCTGTCTTTTTTTCCAGAAAGTTTCACGTCACCTACTAGGTTTGCTTACACAGGATTTGTTTCTCAAGGAGGCTGTTCTTTCCTTGTGACTAACAAAAAGCAAACTCAGTCTGATGAAAAGTGTGCATTGCATTATTGCCAGATGATGACAGGAATCCTACCTGAGCATGTCAGAGGGAACTGGTGGAACAGAGGCTTTGCAGTAGGGAGCAGGAGCAAGAGAAAGATTAAAGGAACAGGGAAGGCAGATCTGTGTCTTTGCTGGTGGCAGGATCTCATCTCCTTTTATCTTGTTTAGGTTTCTCCTCTGCCTCCTACTTAAAGGTCCATGTTAAAACCCACCACGGTGTTCCCCTTCCCCAGGTCTCCAGGCACCAGGAGTCCATCCCGAATGGGGGAGCAGCGTTCCACTGCRTCAGGACCTATGGCATCAAAGGCAAGAGACTCGCTGCTCTGCACCTTTTGCTGCTCTGTGCAGAGCTTTGTGTTGTGGGGTGTTGGGCTGGGCACGAGAAACGGGAGGGAGGAAAGACAGGGAAAATACTGGAGAGAAGCTTAGAGAGATGCAGGGCAATTCCATAGCATCAGATGGAATGTAATACCTGTCATTGGATAGCAAATTTAACAAGTCTAGGGGAAGAACATGGACACGTAAGAGTAGGTGAATTTTTGGCAGCTTCTTTGATTTTGAAAATTGAAAAAGCCATGTTAGTTCATCTTGAGCCTCTTCCTTGGAGTAATCACATCTGAATTTTGCCTGAGGGCGAGTTCATTAGTCCCACTCCACTTGAATCTTGCGTCAGTCAAACCCTGATTCTGGTTTTGATGAGGAGATATATTGTACATGCAGCCAGCTGTCTGTAACTAAACATACACTTCTAAATGCAGTTGTTGTGGAGGAGAGGTAAAGGGTGATCATAGTACTGGTGCTTTTTTGTTGCTTTTAATATTCATTTAACTTCAGGGAGGGGAAAAAGAAAAAGATGTTATTGTAAGCATAGCTAAAGAGTATTTAGCTTCTGAATAAGTAAACCAGTGTGTTTACCTGTGTAGAATAGTTTTTTGCTTCTTGGTTTGATCTGTCAGTGTTCCCAGTGAAGGGGAAACATCAGAAAATTCTTCAAAACCATGGTTGTTCTGKTTTTTTTCTTGCCTAGGAGTAGGCTGGGTTAAATAAAGTCTGTGCCAGCAGAAAGTYAGAGTGGTGTAATTTTTTCTGTTGAAGTCTTGATAGAGTTACTACAGAAGCCCTTTAGTTTTGGGTGGTGTGCTGACTTAACAAGAGATTTATTCCAGCTCAGTGGTGTATTGATTTCATGCATATTCTGTTTGGTTTGTAATGCTGAGTCCCGAGCAAATCTGTCTTTTGGGTTGTGCCAAGTGGTTCTTTGGTCTCTCAGASTTAATAGTAGGTACAGCCTATTTGTATTCAGAGACTCATTTAGTGAGCACGTCTGGGTTTCTCACGCTCATTCACATGCACTGAGCAAAAAAGTGTGGACAAACTTCCTTGGCATAATGCCAGAGGAGAATGGGGAAGACTCCAAACATACCAATGGCTTTGCCAGGACATACATCCAAATGACTTAAATAACGTCCCTAACCTCTCTGCTTTTTCACAYTACAGTATTTAAAGATAGAACAATTTTGGGTTGTGAAGTTCACTTCTAACAGTRTTGCACTTGTGAAAAAGAGTTCCTTGAGACTAAATGGAATTGCACATCCTAAATTGCAGTAGCTCGCTGCTGTTTTGCTGAGTATTTCCAGGTTTCTTCACATCCTGCTGCAGCCTGTTATACTTTATAGTAGGCTCTCCCCAAAGTATCAACAGTATTTCACGAGTGTGCAAGGGAATTGCACTATTCAAAACTCTTCATTAGTTCCATCCTTTTGTAGTGTCTGAGGTGTAATTATTATGAGACATCCTTGGGATTCAAGAAGTGTTATATAAACCAGAGATCTGTTATGGTTGCATTCAGTATCATGACAAATCCRTAATGAAACCCCAGCGTTGCTCTGATAGCAGCCTGGTGGTTTGAAAAGGGGGCCTATGCTCAAGGGCTTTAGAATATCAGTCATTGGATGTTATGTGTGTATCATTGTGTTGTGACAGGCATTAATGTGATCAGGTGGTAACCAATAWAATTTATTTCAATGCATGTTAAATACCTTGCTTTGGGAGCTAAGATTCTGAAACTTCTCTCTTTTCTTTTTCCCATAGAAGGCCAGAAATGTTCACATTCGGACCCGATTGAGAGTTCTGATTCATATGGAGACCTCTCTGACACCAGTGACCTCAAGACTCCTGAGAAGCAGAGCACCAATGGGTCCTTCTCGTGTGACCTGGCAGTCAGCAAAAACAAAATGGAGACGGAAGGAGAGAAGAAGTACCCTTGCCCTGAATGTGGCAGCTTTTTCAGATCAAARTCTTATCTGAACAAACACATACAGAAAGTTCACGTCAGGGCCCTTGGTGGCCCATTGGGGGACCTGGGTCCTGCTCTAGGATCCCCCTTCTCACCCCAACAGAACATGTCTCTTCTGGAGTCRTTTGGGTTTCAGATCGTCCAGTCAGCATTTGCATCATCCCTAGTGGATCCAGAGGTCGACCAGCAACCAATGGGGCCAGAGGGGAAATGAGATCAGTTTTGATCTTAACAAAGCAAAGCAGCAGTCTGGCTATAATGATAAGATGCTGTGAATGAAAGAGGAAATAATGAAATTTGGTTCTATAGCTGAGAATTTTTCATTCATTTTAGCTTCCCTCTTTGTCTCATGCCCTACCCCACCTTTAAACCTTCACTGGGGAGAGGGAGAAAATGCTTCTTTAGCTGATAAATTACAGAAGATGGTGGCCTTGAATAGGAGACATGACCCAAAACAAATGGAGCTTTAGAGGCTGCTGCTGGTGGTTTTTTTTGTGTTCTTCTAGAATAATCAGAAATTGCCAGCACTGGTCTGAGAATGAAACAGTCCTAATGACCGAGGCACCTGGGGAGCTGCAGCTACAGGGAGCTGTGATTTTGTTCTCTCTCCATTCCCCCACCCTCCCTAAACTCCCCCAGAAAAATAGTAAGTTTTGAAAACAGACCCATTATTGAATATAAAGTTAAGTAAAATGCCCCRTGGTTCCTAGCAGGTTACAATGCAGTTGTCCTTTTAAAAATAGAAAAATTTAAAGAAGGTGAGAGAATTTGAACCCCTTCTGCCTTTGTGAGGCTGTGAGTGCTGCAGCAGGACTGAACTGCTGAGAAAAATCACCTTTCAGAACAGGTTGTTTTTATTACTTTTGACCGTTAAACTTGCTGTCAGGTTTTTAATTCTTTATTATTATTATTATTTTAGGACCTGTTGTAGTGAATTGCTACTGAAAAGCCAGTCTAAGGCGATACACAGAGCACTCTTAAAGCAGCAGTCACATTAGGGTTAGTATTAATTTCTTTTTTAGATGTACCATAATTAATAACTTGGCTAGTTGGTTGTTTTAAGTCTATGAAAGAAATAGTTTTTATGAAAAAAAAAGAAAAAAAAAGAAAAAAAAAACAGGAAGGAAAAATACCATTACAGTCTGGTTGACTGGTGCTCATTTTTCATGTGGCGACCTAGGGGATGAACATGATCAGCTATCGGGTTAACACTATGTACCACTGACTTGTTTAGTGTGAATAAACCCAGGGGTTCACAGAGTGATTTTGGTTTAATTGGATTGGACTCTATTAAAGAAGTTAGTATGTTACTTTGCATCCCCTCGTTTTGTCTGGTTTTTGAGCAATTTAGCCACCTGTTCAAAAGGTGTGCAAATGAGAGCCAGTAAATAATAYGTGAATCCCACTGTGCACTGTGCTGTATTCTCAGTGAACTGGGCTTTTTGGCCACAGTTGTGCTCTCCTGATCTGTCTCTAGTCAGGTTTGCAAAAGCCACTGTTACTCCTTTCTTTTYCAAATGAGAAAGATTTCTAGTATAAGAGGTGGAAATTGCAAACAGCGTATCTTTGAAAAATAATTGATTACAAAACACAAAGAAATTGGGCTCTAGGCTGTTGGAGATTGCATTTAATCTGAAAATACCACTTGTGCAGAAATTATGTCCTTTCTTGACCCTCCCTTTCCTTCCATGTAACTATCAAAGTTTTTTGTACCAAACCCAGGTATAAATGTTGTTTAACACAGGGTTAGGAGTTAGGAATACTCTGAGTTTTAATTATGGTTCTGCTGTTGATGCTCAAGGTCACATAGAACAGTTTCCTGAATTTATTYCTTAATTTCATATCTGTGAAGAATTTCCTCTACATCACAATTGTTGAGAGAATTATTGAGCGAAAGTTGAAGCAGTGACTTGGTAAACTGCTTTGTGTATCAAGTGTTTCTAAAAAGGCCACGCTGARGAGCCCAAGTCCTGCACCAAAACTTGCATCCCATGAAACAATATCTGTCTCCATCATTAATATAGTGTTGGAGCAGAACAGACCCCCTTAGACCAAGTTCTCATTTGCTGCAGGAGATCTGTCTGTGTAAATGTGCACAGAGCCACAAACTTGTACTACAGTCTGCATTGCCCAGGTGCTCCTAATCCAAATCCTGCAGCTGATGCTTAACTGATACAAAATACATTCCCATTTTGGTTTCATGTTAGAATTAGAGAGCCCTTTGTGAGTGTATGTATTTTGGAATTACATTCTAAATTCTGTAGAGTTGAAGACCCAGATTCCCTCATGTAAGAAGCTACTTTTTGTACTTGCTCTCAACTATTATAAATCAAGGATGAATAATCAATGGCTTTCTCTTTATAGCACCAGCACTTTCTAAATTGAGAGCATGTTGCAGTGGACTTGATGTTTTGCTATTAATCTGTGTTGGGAGACTGAAGGACATGTTCTTCTCCAGTCRTCTCCTCCCWGAATCCTGGAATAGGTATGAGCCTCATTTAACAGGAAAAACCAGTGAAACAAACAAACTCCACCACTAAAGCTTCATGGAATTTCTCATTTTGTACTGGTAAGATTAGTGCACAGATAAAAACAGTACACCTTAAAAATGTGACAAAACATTTTAAAATACCTTACAGATCAAGTGCTGAGGCAACCTTGTAAGCTGCCAAGCAAATCAGGAGAGAGCAGGTTTTCCAGTCAGCATAACAATTTGTTGGGATTAGCAAATGCAGCTGCAGTCACTGATTCACTAATAGCTCATAATCAATCCACAAGGGAAAACTCTCTTGAACTGAGGCTGTATGTTGAAAGATAGAATTTTGTGTCCTCAGTGTTAGAATACGTACTCAAAGAAGTTGCAGTAGTCATAAAATTTAATTCCAAAWGCTAAATCCAGAGTATAGGATACTTTCACCCTAGATTTACCTACCCTGACTTTAGTGTTACAAATGGGTTGAATTTTGGCTCTATCAATCAGAATTTGATTTTGAATGCTAGAGAATTTGACCTGGTGAAACAAAAAGAAGCCTTGAACTAAAAATGAAGCCTTCTAAAACACTAACTGTGCATTCTSCTTGTCAAAGAAAATGCTTACTAAGTTGTCATGAATACATTGAATGAAAACTACTTACTTCTYAGTCTAGTGGATAGGGAAACAATTAGGCAGGGGGTTAACAATCCTGAAATGACAGTTCTAGATCATCGCAGTGTAAATGGGAGAGATTTGTACCAACATAGGAGGCTGGTGAAGGCTAGTGCCAGTGGGAAGTTGGGCAGATCTTTAGCTGTGGTGTGTTTTCAGTGCTTTTTGCTTCTTTGGGGGCATACTGTTCCATTCTGGACAGTAATTTAATTACATGCAAATTCTTTCTTATTCTGTACTTTGGGAAATGCCTGTTTCTCGTAAAACATGAGACAGATCCAAACAGAAAACTCAGCCTCACAAGTTCAGAGTTCAAAGGGAAGTACGTAACATGCCCTGAGCTGCAGCTTKTTGCTATTACATTTTATTTTTAATTGGCATATAAGTGTATAGATGATAGTTCTGATTATGGGCCACCCTCCTTTCCTTGCCTTCTCCTTTGGAGGGCCTGTAAGCCAACGTGTGAGTCGGTGCATATGTCAAGAAGGAAACTTCAGTTCATGCAAATTTATATAATCAGACTTGTAGTATTTGTTTACATTATAGGAGTCCATAACCTCTCATCTGAGGCTCAGAGCCTTGTGTATTAGGTATGATGAAAACATCTTCAGTCATTCATGATCTAAATACTAAAGACAGACAAGAAAGGAATAGATGCTTATAAGAGAATGAGTGAAAGATAAAGGACTAAAAACCACTTGCATGCATGCTTAARTGTTGTGTTAAATGTGAGGACACAGACTTCTCAGGCTTCTTTTGTTGCCTGAATTTATCTTTATAAATGTTAATCCACAGCAAATGCAAGATAAAGCAATTTAATGTGAATTTATTCCACACTGAGTCAAAGTAGGTGACATGACCTTGCATGTCATGTCTTAAATGTGTGCAAACAATGTAGCTCACCTGACACATGGTAATATACCTGTGAGCTCTCAATCCTAAGTGATTTGCCCACGATGATGTGGGAAATTGATAGCAGAACCAGAAATTGAACACAGATTTTTCCTTCTCTCAATCCAGTGCCTTAATTATAGTAGGGCAAAGTATTATATGTTGGGGGGGGGGATGAATTTTTTGTTTTTTAAAGCCTAGAACTATTAAGATGGTGTGGAGTTGGTCTTCCTACCAATCTTTTGAATAATTGTAAATGCCCAGTCACAATTTTAGACCTGTTTGAGTGCCAGTGACTTAGGGAATATTTGTTATTTCCCATGTATTCCCTGAAATTATTGTTCCTCCCTCAACTGCTGCCAGCAGTAAGGAATGACTTGAATAGAAGAGCTGTGTAACTGAATGTCTATCTAACTCAACTAATTGAATTGCTAGTATGAAAGCTAACCTAGATTTTGTAGGCTCTGTCGTAACTTTAGTGTCTTGTTTTTTCACTAAATCTTTGTTCCTAGAATTCAGTATCTAAACTTATGTCTTGAGTCGGGAGTGGGGTACCACTTTCAGCTTTAATTTTTTTTAAGGTGCTTGCTTGAGGAAGTAGATGCCAAAGTAAACTTCAAAGGAACTCCAGACTTCAGTGTTGGAAGAATGAATGGAGAGCAAGAGCTCTCCTTGGGTTTCATGAGAGATAAATGGACAAAGTTAAAAACAGCCACCAAAACTTTCAGTAATGAAACAGGGAAGGCTTTTCTTTATCACCCACAAAAATAATAAGATATTTTGAATTGTCGGAGTGGCAGAAACTCCGAGAGCAAGTGCCAAACAACACCGTGGAATGTGCTGGCTTTTTCATCATTATGATTATACCTTAACAGCATTGTCAATAGCCAAATGTAAATTAAGCCAGTTTAGTACTGTCCACCTTTTTCTTGGGCACAACACCTGAGTTTTATTTGAACAGAACATAAGCTCAGAGTGAATYTGTGAGCCTATGCTCTCAGTTCCACCCTAAGAGACAAAACAAATGAGCAAAGAGGGAAAAAAAAACACTACGAGAGCTTAAAAAGGAAAACAGATTCTGAAAGATTCCAGTGTCTCCTGAAAGAGCCACTTTTTTTTAATCTTGAACATCCTTTTCAAAACAAGATCCTTCAGCTGTTGTGAATGAGCCCTTGGGAAAAGATTTGGCTTCSAGCCCAATGTGCTGCAGCTCCCTGTCCCTGTGAGAAGGCAGCATGTTCCAGAGCACTGAGCCTGGGACCAGTGAGAGGAGGGAGGAGGGCAGGCAATGCTCCTGGGCTGCAGCCACAGGGACTGCTACAGTCAGCACCAACACTGGCACAGTGYTGTCTGCCTGCTCCCTTGACCCTCACCCTCCACACCTCCCTGTGCCAGTGTGGTACCTGCTTGGCTGTGTGCAGCTCTCCTAATAACTCTGTTGGCTAGAAAACAAAGCAAGGACCTATTTGGCTAAAAAGAAAAGAAAAAGCACCACTTAAAAATAGTKCTGTGACATCATGGTGGAGTGATGCAGACCAGGAGCAGGAGCCTTGGCTGTGAGTGGTTGTGGTGATGATTGGAATGGTTATGGCATGTCAGTGAAAAACCACAGCTGTGTGCTGTGGTGGCTGGCAGTGAGGGTCGTTTGCCAAGAATTAACACCCTGTGTCATCTCTAGCCTCTTCCTGTGTTSTGTTCATGTCTGTAAAATGAGATGATGATAACCCTTGGGTAAAAATGTGCCAATATTTAAATGACATGCCAAATTGTGCTGCACAGTTATGCTGCTGAACTCTGTCACAAATGTTTGGCCTCACTTCAGGTGTAATACAAAGTTAAACAAACATWTGTTCACATTTTTCCTGAAAGGTGTGATATTTAAATGTATTTAAAGACTGCCTGGCACTATTGATCCACTCTCAGGGTTTATGTGAATGAAGCTTTTCCTGGGTGGCCTCCATACTTATAYTGCAATTTTGGAGACCTGGAAGTGMTCTGAGCYGAGATGTGCTGAAGGAMGGAGGTAACTGGAGTCTCACTGGTGTTCCAGTRATTCCCTCCCAGCTCCTGTGTTCCATATGGACCATGGAGTCACTTCATGCAGCCACTAGCAGCCATAAATTCTCTTGAGCATCCTGCAGTCACATAGTGACCTTGGGTAAGTGATTTTATAATAAATCAATCTCATGCTTGCTAATACCTTTTTGGCTGCTGTGTCTACAAACTGGTGCCTTCTCCAGGCAAATTTTACATGCCCTCTGSAAAGTTGTCAGACTGACTGCTGGCTCTTAAGGAATCAACCAAGCCTTGCTCTTGGGCTCAGAATTTTTCTTCGGTACTGTTGTAATCTGAAAGTTTGCTGCAATTAGTGCAAATACCAGAGTAAGAGAAAATAAAAGGCTGTTCTTAGATGTCCTGTAGAGTGAACAACTGAAACATGAGTGTGGGATGAGCCAGGAAAACTGGCRTTTTTCCCTGGCTGCACGCCATATGGAAGAGACAGTGCCTTGGAAGGGAAGGAGCAGAAAAGTTTGCCRTTGGCTCTGATGAATCCCAATCCTGCTTCTACTGAAGTTGTTGGGAATCCTCCCATTGTCTTCAGTGTGAGCAAGAAAGGATCTTAGGTGAGGATGGATRACTCTTTCCCTACTTGAATGAAGTCTCTTACCTATTTATAGGCCTGCTTCTATTGAAACCGAGCCTGTTTTAGCCTTTTTGGGTTCTTAGGGACCTGTTTGTATAAAGCAACTTACCTACCTATCTTTTTTTTTCTATTGTGTGTATTTTTTGTATGTTCTGTTGGAAGGTGAAGCCTCTGTAGAAGGGGATACAAAACCTGATTTTTAAATAGTAATAAACCAAAAGAGAATTAAACTCTGCAGGCTGCATGCATTCATTTCCTGGAGATGGAGAGTAGAGACCGTGAGTGCACAGAGAGATGGCCTGGACTTCTCGTATCTYGAAATCTTCCCCTTTTCAGAGACAGTTCTGCCTTTGCACATCTCCACAGCTCTATGTGAGAATTCATAGTGTGGTGGGCAGGTTGCAACACGGTGTATCAGGACAGCCTTATTTTGACTAGGAAACCCTTTCTCTGGCACTGTGCGCTGAGATTTCTTGTTTTAGCATAAATGGGTTGAGTAACAAGTATCTGTGAAATTTGGTATTGTTCTGATTGAATGGCTGTGAAATAAAACTGAGATCATATAAATAGATTTTTGCTTCTGGCCTGCCTACCTCAGGTGCTGGGGCATTGGTCAAATGCACAGTGTTTTAACTCTACACCCATATATTCTAAAGAAATAAGTGCAAGTATTAGGTGAAACTTTACTAAGCCTTTAAAAAGTCCATGTGCCTATGTCAGTCATGAAAAAGGCTATCTCTGCATGCTTATGGCATGTGTGTGACCCAGACAAAATAGAGATTTGCCTTTCTACATGGGAAAGAAAGGGCAACTTCCCAAAATAAACAACTCCCCCCACAGCCTTCAGGCAAACACCTGTGGAGAGAAGTCTTTCACAGTACCTGTGTGCCAATGGTTTTGTCTGCTTTCAGGTCAGCTAAGAAATAAAATCCAGAGGTGTRAGCTCTGCACTATAAATGTCCATGAATCCTGCGCTTTATGAGGAAACAGTAATAGCTCCACTGCAAGGTTTGGTCTCTCCTTCTCTGCTCACATGTTGAATTACAGAGATCCATTACAAACTGAGCCTCTGCTTCTGCTCTTATGTTGATGACTCCAGTCCTAGTCCCTAAAGCCCTAGAGAGATAAGAAAATACATGTTTGGGCTTTTTATGTGTTCAAGTTTATAACCTTATAGCCTTTTTGATGGCTTGGGATAAAAGTCACATGAGTGGCTGTGCTATTTAGAGTAGGTGTTTTGCATATTTAAGTGCAACTCTAACCTCATGTTTTCCACAATGAAATCTGTTAYTGTGGTAATATTCCATTATTATTGAAGTTTAACCAGGAGAGTTTTGGGCTTTCACTTCTGTTTGACTGTGAAATTGGCTTCCATGGTGAGTAAAAGATTGGTAGAAGGATATTTATTAATCCCATCCAATTCACTGGAAATTAATTTAAACATATATCAGAACAGAAATCTTTTTTCCTTTTGACTGAAATCTCCAGATGTTTTGATGCTGCCTTTTCACGTTTCTCATTTGCAGATAAACAATTATTTTTAGATAGGTATTTTCTAACAAGAATGAATTGGTTTATCAGACTTAGCTTTGCCAGGTACTGCTGGGCACAACAGTGGTTTGAGAAACAAAAAAGTTACAGAAGTACATTTACATCTGAAAAAACAACCAAACAACACATTCTCCTAAGTCCTGCATTAATGTTTATTTGTACTTCATCTAAGTCAGCACTACACATGTAGAACTTGAGAACATCTCATGCATATCCGTCTTGAGGAATTCTTCCCCTACACCATTTCATAAGGTAGGTATTACATGTCTGAAGCTTTCAAAGTGTTTTTCAGATATATAATCATTTCAGCCTCTGTGCCATAAGTAAYATTAACATGGGAAACCAAGGCAGAAGCTTGCCCAAGGTCAGGCAAAGATTTGTTAAAGAATTTAGAGTAAGGCTCCTGTTYTTGGCTCAGACTTCTGTGTTCTCTGAGTAGATCACAGTATCTTTCAAAATAGCTTCCCTTCCTCCACCCTTAGAAATGTGTACTCTGTTTTTTGTCAGTAACAGCCTGCATCTGTGGCAAAAAACAACCAAACAGCCCAACAAAAATCAGTGCAACTGGAGACTGAAACATCTTTAGACAGCTGTACCCAATTCCTAATGATATTGTTATGGTTTTCTGGTATCCTGCTATGGTACACACCCAGCTGTTGGATAGCAGGTAAAGCAGTCTGTGATCCACATACCRAGATCAGAGTGCTGTAGCCAGGGAAGGAGCTGAGGGATGATCYATGGGGACCTTCACAATTGCCACAGTGGGCCAGTGTGAACACAGATGTCTGTCAGCACTTGAGCCCTTCAAAACTGCTGAGAAAACTCTGGAAAAGCACTGGGCAAAAAAGGACAAAGAATTGATGCTGTTAGACAGGACTCTAYGTGAAATTTCTTAAGTCAGTGATTGCTGAGAGTATTTAGTGCAAATCTCTTAATATTGGAGAAGTGTAGCTACAGTGCTTCTCCCCAGTAAACAGTAGGGCCCAGATTGCCCTCCTGAGGCCTCTGGCCTTTTAGTACAGCCCACACAGAAAGCTCATCTGAGAAAGCACTCTGAGTTAGTGGAGCAARCTCTGAACCAGTCTGAACCAGTCCAAATATCACATATGGTTGTTTTGCTTCTGCAGACTTCCTTGTTAGTCCTTGGAGGCTGTGGCTGGCATTTACTTAGCAATAGCTCATGCTGTCAGACTGAAGGGGGAGGAGAAAGCCTCTCCTTGAGCATGTCAACAGMGCGATGCAACAGTGCCAGCAGATACTCCTATCACTCCTTTGTAGTCACTGTCTCTCTCTTGATTTGTGGTTACACTCGGCTCAGTTTCATAAATGCAGCATCTGATCCTTTTGTTGCAGCCCTGATGTTCTTTTATTAGGTTCAGATTATATCTAGGTTAGAAATGAAACATATTTGTTTCCAACTCCTACCTCTGCTTACAGAAGTCTTTTTGCAGGTGAGACCCACAGTTCCTTTCATTATCAAGACAGAGGCAACTAAGAAATAAAACCCCTGCTTTTGTTGGAGTTGCAATTACTTAATAGTGTTTAGAAACATTTGATGCTGCAGTTTTTTAAGCTTAAGCACAAATTGCTCTAATATTCTGTTTGTGGTAARTGAGGTCTCAGAATTTACTGTCTTTATTCTCAAGCATCGTGATTTATGAAAGAAGCAGAAAATTGAGAAAAAACTATTTTTGAGGAAAAATTGGRACAATTATTTTGGTTACCTAAGAAGAAAAAGGGAGGTTATGGGAATGTGACGTATGTCCTGGTACAAGGAGGGCAATGGTCAACTTTTTCCATTTTAAGCAATCCATGTTAATTTGGCTAGGGAAGATTACTCAGATTAGAAAACTCATTTTGTTTACTCCCCCCAGTGTCTTGTTTAATACGATTAAGTAATAAAGCATGTTAGTTCTTGCATAGGAGGTTAGATAAACTTTTGGCTGGCAAGATCTGAACACTCTTGGCTGTGGCCAGAGAAGGAGGGTGGGTTTGATGCCTTCTTGCAGAGTCATTCCAGAGCTACACATCTRTGTCTGCCTCCCTTGGCACAGACTGCTGTGCTATATGCTAGATTCCCTTTTTTTTAAAAAATAAAAATCTCAAAACACTTTGAATTTTTCCACAGGTGAAAAAGTAGAACAAATAAACAAGAAAGAGCAGCTGACAGACAGGAGAGAGACAAAGCAGACATTGTTCATTCTGGAGCCTGTATAATGCAAACAGCAGAAAGGTACCAGCACACAGCTGAAACTGGTTCACACTGAGTTTGGGGAGGATGCTTAATGTCCCTTGTTCCTAAAAAGAGGGTGTATATTCTCCTGTGAAACATTTGTGGACATGGGGATGCGTCATTATACATGTATGTGTACATACCTACAGACTTCTAAGTGTAAACTATATGAGGAAGTAGCTGCAGAGCTATTAACTCACTTATAGTTYGGGTAATTTAAAATCAAGGTCCTARGAAATAATGGCATGTTTAATATCTCAAAGTGTAGCAAGAAGAGCAAACCCATTCCCGAGCAGCAGAAAGACCAAGTGAGTCTGCCTTTGACAGTTGGCACCTGGCATCCTATTAAATTTAACTCAGTGAAACTGCCAGGCATAAACCTTCCCTCGTCCTGGAGAAATTTAGAGATGAAAGAAAAAATTATGCTTAGAAGGCAGCTGTGGGAACGACCTTGATCTTTACCACTAATGTGAAGGTTTTTGCATTTCTCCCAGATTCCCCATTGTCCTTCTGTGGACTGGAAACTCAAATTGTTTGCTGGAACTTGGCTGGGTGTAATGAGAAGTGCAAATTTATCTTGTTACATAGTAGGAGAAAGAACTGGGAACGTCTGAGATTTGTTTCCAAAGAGATTACTGCAGTTCTTGCATCAGTATATACAGAAGGAGGTGTTTTCTATGCTAGATGGCATGGAAGCTTTAGTTAGTCTCATGAAATGAACAAAAAGAAATTAATTGTGCAGGTTGGCAACCCCTCTGCAAACAGTTTTGGACAGGAGTGCCTCTGGATGCATGTGTGGCCCTGCAGTTTCTGCTGAATGGARTTTGTCCCATAAAATCCGTGATGAAGAGCTATTACAAACAGGCAGCTTGATTCAATAGSCCTTAATAAAAATTCTTGCTGACTCTAGTTAGCCTTGCCTTTACAGAGAGTAACTGGAGAGCATCAGGAATGCAGTAACAGCGTGTCTGTGCAGACAATGAGCATAATGCCACAAAGGCTGCATCTTAGCTGGTGATGTCAGTCAGGACTGGCACATAGAGTTGGTTTTTGGTTTCCTGTTTTGATTTTTACAACCTTTTTTTAAAAATCTGGCATTACAAAACTAAATTTTCTGTAGTTGTAAATCATATTGTTAAGTGTGAATCACACAAAAATGTGTGCTAAGGCCTGTGGTTTCATACTTGGTGGTAGTGCTGCTTAATTGACTTTTTCCTCATTACCCATCTGACATGCTGGTACATCTATGTTTTTGTGGCTCCATTGTGGGCTGGATGCAGCAGGTGACCTGGCTGTAAAGGGGTTAAAGTGTTCATGACTTGGTGAAAAAGTAAAAGTTGGGTTGGATCAGCATCTTGAGCAGGTTTGTCACACAAGTACCTGTAGCAACCTGACAGAGAGCACTGCCAGGATGGAAACATCTGGGAGTGGAAGGGAAAGACCACTGTTCCAGCCAGCACTGCCTTGAAAAGTGATTAATTAAAGACTGAAGCAGCTTCCTGGCATATAAATACTTATGTGTTCAGTGGTTTCCATGCGATTTTGAAGCACTTTGAAAGAAGGGGAACTTCCCTGTCCTATTCCAARAAGGAAGGTCTGATTGTACCTCATGTAACAGAAAGGAAGGGAAAGTGTAAAGTGAGGCAGGCAGATTGGCCAAGGTCAGGAAGAACTCTGTGGGAAAGCCAGAAATAGCACCTTGTGCTGCCTGCCTGTGCCTTGGCTACAAACCCATCAGTTGGCCCAGGCTGCCTTTGTGAGCACATTGTTGAACAGGACCAACTATTCAGTGGCTTGTTTTTCACTAATGTAAAATAGTGAATTGTGTATTGCAAATAGTGTAAATTGCTGAGGCGTCCAGATGCTTCTGTACAGGCACTGGCACTGCACAATCTGAAGCCCTTGGCACGTTCAGAAA